CAGTAGAAAGTAACACTAAACTTTACTTTTAAATTTGATCTGAATTTCAAGCGCCTCCCTAAAATAGAACAGATAGCTTTATAGTATTGCTCGAAATAAAAATAAATATTTACATAATAACATCTAGTGAATAACCTTTGCTTTTAAGTTCTGTAACTTGTCTTGGACGAAAACAATCATCATTATCGAACGCACATTTTTCTTTTTTAGCTAAATTAATAACAAAAAACATTTTAACAGACTGTAGTGCGATCTTCGTTGATTGTTTTGTCATCTCCTTACATTCTTTTGAAAGTAACTCACCTTCCACATTGATGTTGAATAAATTTCTTGATTCAACGTCTAAAAAAAAGTTTGTTTAGGAGCTGGGAAAAGTAATTTTTCTCTGTATACCTAATTTCATCCGTTTGGTTTGATGAGTACCGCCATTCGAATGATCATTACTCAAATGTTTCATGTATTCGCAATACGGAAAATTCTCTATATGTCTAGCTATTGGATTATCGGTTGACTCAAAATCAAGTAAAAAGCCACCACAACAAAAGCACTGAATTGTTTTGTCAGTTCCAGTGAAGTAGAATCCAGCTTTAGCAACCTGTTCAACGTCTGATATCGGTTCATTTGGCCACTTTTGAAACGATTTTTGTCGCTTTAATACTTCTGCATATTCCGAACAACAGTACATTCTTGATACATTTCTATGAGCTTTCGATGCAGATGACGCAGCATTGGAGTTGAGTATTTGAATATTGCTTTGTGTACCGAATTCTTTAGATTTAAATGTAATATACAAACAATTTGGGGATAGTGATTGATGAATTTTGAGTGGATTATTCTCTGGCTTCCAGTTAGAGTGTGTCATACCACAATAGATACATATAACCAAATCCTTCTTGCCAGAGTAAAACCAACCAGCTCCGATCATCGATTTTTTAGACGGTAAAATATGATTCCATTTTATGTACGTTTTTTCAAGCACTTTTCTTGCTATTTCTATGCCGACTTCCTCGACGATCTGTTGTACAATTCCGATCATGACTTGTGTCTCATCTTCCAATACTGGTTTAAAATAACAATCTCTGATAATGATTAGACTCAATAGCAAATGCTTACCTGAATTGATAATACTATAAACACGCTGTACAGTATTACGGATGACTGAAGATTCATCAACGGCTGTTTTAGTAGTATGATTGCCTGAAAAAAGTTCCAAGACAAAACCTTTGTTTTATCTGTTTTGACGATTACGTTTGTTCTATACAATCTTACTTGTTAGCTCTTGAATTGTTTCCGCATTGCTTTCCTTTTCCTCTGTTTTAGTAAATTGGTTTACATTAAAAAACCGACAGATATCTTTTTTGTCTTCTCTTTCATCCATGTCGCTTTTGAAATGTAAATAATTTAAGGATTCTGCTGAAAAATTGCTCGAAACTAAACGCAAGTTATTGTGAGTACATTTCTCTAACATATCAATCAACTGGGGTTCTTTCAAAGGACCCTGTTGAAAGTTTTGTAACCATATTTTCTTCCCACTACGTCATCGGGGAGACACCATCAAATATTATTCATGATTACGTCATAGTTATGTGGTATACGACGCAATAATAACTTATATAGGTATATAATGGATATAGGCATGTGCATACTCGTTTTTTGCTTATCAGTCATTTCTTTATTTTTCTAATATTGAAAGGTGTCTGCATATAATAAAAGAAATGCACCTACATAGTTTTCAATCCTATAGTGGATTATTCCCGGCAGCAAAGATTCATCCTCTACTTCCCACGGTAGTGACATATTTTATTCTTGCCTAGAAATTAAAAGTTATTATTACGTCGTATACCACATAACTATGACGTAATCATGAATAATATTTGATGGTGTCTCCCCGATGACGTAGTGGGAAGAAAATATGGTTACGAAACTTTCAACAGGGTCCTTTGAAAGGACTCTTGTTCGTATATTAGAGAAATGTACTCAGGCGTATCATTTACTTTGACAATAAAGAAAATGCCCACGACTTTGGACCAGTGACGACGATGGATTTCCTTGAGATAATTTTGTTGAGAAGAATGTCAATATAAAACTGTTTCGTCGGTTCTGGAGAACGTTAGAAGCGTATCAGAGGGGAGAATCATACGAAAATATATTAAAGATGTACTTTAGTGGGCTTGCAAAGGTGATATCCGACAGCATCGGCAAATAACGAATTCCAACTTAAACGATGATTGACGAACAGTATTTTTTTAACATGTTTTTATGCCGTTGATATAAGAAGAAGACTATTTTTTTACATCGTTTGTCGAAATAGATAATTGGCAACAGTAATATGTTAGCTTTCTCACGATCGAAAAGTTCTTGAAGTATTGAATTGCTGTCGAAGTACCCATCTACACCGACTTGTATGGATGCTGAGGCTGTTCTTGGAATATATGTGATGTTATTATCTTCATCAAGAAGTTCACGATGTGTCTTCGTACATTTCGTCCACTCTGGCTCACTCAGTTCAAAGAAGGGTGAGGGACCACTCAGAATAAAGTCGCTTATCATCAACGAGCGACCTTTTCCTTTCGAGTAAAATGGTGATGAGTGTTCCGGTGAAATCCAACGTTTTGAGCACACTTCTCCGGATCTGAAGCAAGACTCACCGTGTGCTGAAAAAAGTAAAGAAAGTTTTAAAATAAACTTAACTTAACAATAACTCTATCAGAATCTGTAAGGAAATCTATAGGTAAAAAACCTACTTGAATTTTGAATTTCCTGAACCTTACTTGATTTGAAAAATCTATTTTCTCTTTAAAGTTTTACTCTAAGCGTAACACCCACATATGCACTCGATCGAAAATGGACATTTAGGGTTTTCTGATACATACATTCATTTTGATTTTGAAAGTACGAAATCGTCGCAGCCGCATTTTGACTGAATGATGGAAGAGGGTAAGCACACATCGAAAGACCTTGCACTAGATTGAAATGTTCTTGTTTTTCCTGTCAAGAATTGAACTCCATCTATCGCTTACGAGACGAATGTGTTCACCACTGAGCTACAAAGGCACATTAGTTATTAGTCTTATTAGCCGCTTACGTTGATATTTTGTGTGGGAGACTTTGATTAAAAACTTAGAGACACATGAAGGCGGGATGATATGACTACTAAGCGTCTTTCCCGTTCACACGCCTTCCATGCGACTCTAATGCGACTTCTATATGCCTACCAGTGGACACATTAAAGACATATAGAAGACACCTATTATTTTGAAGACGCAATCTAGTCATATACAAGACACTTTTTCTCGGCAGACACATCACTGAGGTCGCATTTTTTTTTAGAGTATGCGTTTCAAAATACAATGATCTCAGATATTTTTCGAATGACTTTTCACAGAAATAAGACAGAGACCTACAACTGCCAGTATTAAAAACTAGACACCTGACCAGATATTTTTGAAAGCAAAAGCGAATTTAGGAAAACTTTTGAAGCGGATTCTTCAGAGAACCTTGAAAAGACTAGCTTCGTTTTTTCCAAAATTCACATAGGAATGTATTGATTTCTTTTCATGAGCCGGTAGCCCGAGGTGTTCTCTTCAAAACGTGAGTAAAGTGAGACCTTGATTTTCTGTGGTTCGAGCGTTGTATCGAATTTTCGACGAGTCTCACAACTGGCACTCGGTGACTCTTGGTAGCCTTAAAGACGGATGGACTATGGATAATCGACTATGCTGAGTCTAGTGATAATATTTGTTTTTACAAAAAGTTTTAAGAATTTACGAAAAAGCCAGTTTTACGTAAATTAGGGTTTTCGGGTTGTTTTCACCCAGTAATAAAAAATTTATTATTCAC